ATTGCTGAGAGCTAATCCAACTATCTCATTTTATTAATATTTCTATCCTAAGTGGCTTTCTGCTGCCTGTTTTTTCTCCAGCATCACTGGCAAATGAGCTGTTTCACCTAAAGCTGGGTTTACCATGTTTTTATTTTAATCACTCATGATGGTATCATAAGTGGGTAGGTAAGGAGGGAGAGGAAAGAAGAGAGAAAGGAGGGAAGGGGAAAGAGAAGAGAAGAGAAGAGAAGAGAGAAAATATAAGCAACTCTCCATAAAGAAACTGAATCATCAATAAAGATTAAATAATCAAATTATTAAAAACACCAGTTACCATATTACATTGTAACATTATAAAGCCCTCTGAAGCTACTACTAAGTAGTAATGGTGGCTCTTAACCAATTCTCTTTTGAGTTCTTGTAGACGCCTTTAAAAAGACACCAACAAAGCAAAACAAACTTTCTTTTTTCTTCAGAGACATCACCTTTTATTGCAGACATGGGCCAGGTCTCCTCCCCACCCCATTTCTAAACTGTGTGCTAAGGAACAACAAATTACCAACCTTATGATTAAAACAAAAAGGTTTAAATAGTGAAGGGCATAGGGGTTCTCCTAATAAACAGTAAAATTCTTGAACTCTGGATCATATGGCCTCTACTCTGAGTCCTTAAAGGTTTAGTTTGTTGTTGTTGTTGTTTTTATATATATATATTTTCTGGTGTTCTTCTGTGTTCAGGATACTTGAGGTTCCCTGTTTATTTTGGTTATTAAATAAACAAATTACAGAATTCTGGTAACAAGTATCCTATAAAACAAAAACGAGTCACATCACCCACATCCTCTTTTAATGTTTATTGTGCCTCGCTATGCTCTTCCTCGCTGAGCAGTTCTTCATATTCTTCACTGAGCTCTTCCCAATCCCCATAATAAGGAAGCTTTTCGCTGGCTTCTTCTTCACTAGATACAACTTCCAATTCCTCACTAAGCACTTCTCCTGGGCCCCAACTGTTCACCTCACTTGGTTCCTCTTCACTAGAGATAATATCCAGTTCCTCACTGGTCAAATCTTCAAAACACTGATGTTGTCCTGAAACACAGAGCTCATCCTCACTGGACACCACATCCAAAACCTCACTGCTATCTTCACTGGGAACTCCGTCAAACCCATCACTCTTCTCCTCAAAACCAGGTTGATCTAATTCCTCATTAGCCTCCAATTCTTCACTGGTCAGCTCTTCGAATCCTGGTAGGGTAAAATGACTCACCATATTAATGTTTATTAAATCATGGCTTACAAAATATAATATTAAACTATCTTAGATTCCTAGACTGTGTTTTCAAATGGCTTCAACTCCCTTCTGTTTGCCTTCTTTTGCTTCCTATAACCTTTCTCCGATTCTCTATTACTTTACTTATTTATTCCCCAAGCTAAAACATTAACATCAAGGGGAAATGTTTAAGTAAAAAGCCACTGTGAACACTCTTGACTCCACACAAATACTTCTAGATCATGATACCTATGCTCATCTACTTAATGAATTTAAAAATAGGTGATAATTGCAAGTAATATAACAAACTACACTCATCTCACTCCCAAATTAGCTGTCATTTTATGGGATAAGCATTTGTAAGTTCACAGTGAGGAAAATCAGTAAATTTTTTTTTATGGTACCATCAGGGACATCATTATTAAAGTGGTTAAATCATTCAATACCAAGTTGTATAATCCTTTAATACTAAAAATTTTGAATTAACATCACAGTAAATGCACACAATACCTAAGTTTTATTAACTGTCTGGAAGGACTTTAAGAAAAGTCATCTAGTCTACCAACCTACCATAAAGATAGGTATTTACACTCTCAACTGAAAGGTTTTCAGAGTTGATCTTGAAACCAGAATGTGAATCTTTAAGCTCCACTGAGAACCTATTCCCTTATCAATTTCTGGATCAGAAAGTTCATCCTAATATCAAACCCAATTTTTTACTACCATAATTTAAGCCCCTTTTATATTGTGTTGTCCTCAATCAAAAGAATTACTACCTACCACCACGTATATCGCATGTCCTTAAACATTTATCTATATCTTCCCCTTCAGTCTTCCTCTGGTCTTTCTACTTAAGTTCTATTACAAAATTTTCACAAAAAAAGAAAATTGATTTTCTTCCTAATCTTGTTGATTTTCCACATTGCTTATGACGCAAAGCACCTAAACAGGGCCATAGTATTACTGTCTAGGTGCTGATAATCTAACTTAAAAAATTCAGAAGTGTGCCTGGTATTATCAGCTCTGAAAGGAACAATACATATATGTACACACATACCAGAACACTAGGAAGAAATCAAAAAGACTTCAAAAATTAATTTGTGGAATGAATTAAGATCAAAATTAAAGTTACCTCAAAGGAAAAAAACTGCAAATTCATTAAAGAGTATAGCTTTACGGATAACAAAAATCTCCTGCATCGTGGAAATAACAAAAAAGCCCAATTTCAAAAGAAAACTGAGAATCCCTGAAATTCACCCAAATCTACACTAAATATACCACCAGCAGGACGCACAGTTACTTCATACACGTGGAAGCCATCAAGCATCCTCTTTTCCCTTGCATAAATCCTTGGTGACTGAAAATGGAAGCCACCTAGAAGACCTATAAGAATGGATTGAAAAAGTGTCACTGCCAAACTACTGTAAGTCGTAAATATTAAAAAGGGGCAGGCAGCGATAGGATAGCAAAGGGATTTTAAAAACGAGATATATTAGGAAACAAAAACCCAAAAAGGTATTTAAGAAAGAGTGCCTGAATATTCTATTATAATTTTAAAATTAGCTACTTCTTCGAAGGTCTTTGTTTACATGTAATATAATTTCTCTTTACTACCAACTACTTTTTCTTGTCACTATAGCTTCATTTACTTTAATTGATAACTATATCCATACATATAAATACTTAGCTTCCCTGGCAATTATACAAATTTTTAGTTTAAAAGATTCATTTTAATTATATCATGAAATAATCTAAATTTTTTTTATCCCCAACAAAAGAAAATTAATTACTCAAGAAAACTAAGTTAGAAAGGTCTATTTTGACTATGTTGACACAGTCATAGAACCTCTTTTTTTCTCCTAAATGGAAATCAAACAGGGTTTAAATGAAACAAGTCATTTAATCAGTTATCACTGAATGACGCTTCCCATTCTTTTCACTCTATTAAAACAAACCATATTCAACAAGCCAAATGACATAATCAGAACTAACCAGGAGAATTCAAAGTATAACATAGTTTTCATAAAAATTGGGCCCCTGGTTACATCAGATATAGTCCATTCAAAAAAAAATATAAAAATTCTCTTCTCTCACCCTTATGTTCCCCTAACAAAAATGAGCAGCAACTGAAGTACTCTATATTATAGCTAAAGACAGCAAGAAATATAAAAACTACTGACAGAATTAGCAATTACTAGTTGGAGTATACTACTTATATTTCTACCATCTATTTTAATAATTTTTTGAACAAAGTTCTGCTTTCATTAATTATAGTTTCTTTAAATAGAAGTTTCACATATTAGACATTTGGATATACTCAATCTTAGTCAACATCCACATAAATTTATGTTTGTAATCAAAACTAAGACATGACCATTCTTCATAATGAAAGAATTAACAAGTTCCCTATCTACTCACTGCGCTTCCTTGCTATAAATATTAGTCCCTTTTATGTGTGTACTCTGGTCCTTAGCTGCTACCTGTGTAAATGAAAATAGCAAACAAATGCTACTGTTTTTCCCTCTTCCTAGCAGGTTGCTTAAAAGACTAAAAGTGTGGGATTATGAGAGTAATGATGGAATTTCTTTCCATGCCCACACTACAATATGTTGCAGAGTTGCACCATAAATAAAACCTATTACCTACCCAAAGTGCTGGTGATTTAATTCCTCTTCTGTGCCTACGATGGGCAGGGGCCTCCACTTGTTTTCCCCTGTATTCTTTGTAGACAGAATTGCTCTTCTTGTTTCCCTCCTGGGTGGGGGTTCCAGATGGTGATCATTCTCTCCAATCAGGCTCCAGGGAAACGAGGGGTAAACACAGGGTGTGTTTCCCCTTCAATGAGTCAGAAGACAAAGTGGCTGGAGCAGCACAAATCTCAACCCTGATCTCCAGCATAGGCAGTGCATGCATTGAACACCCTGACAATTCAAAAAGCCAGCTGGAAAAATGGGAAGAGGCACTAACAGCAAAATGCTGACTGAGATCGGGTACCTGACAAGCCTTTAGCGACAGTCAAAGCACAGTTCTTCGCAGAATAGGCGCTTAGTAAATATGTCTTTTAATAATCCAGGCATATGTTATAAAGTAAAAAAGACGAACAAGAGATCTATTTGATCATGAAGTCCATAATCCTACCAAGAAGAAGCAACCTAATCAAACACTACCTCTCATTGTAAAACTAGTTTCTCACTTCAAAAAACATCTCCAGATCTGGATCTGGTGATATCATTCCCACCCTCCTTTTCACAAAACTGGACCCAAAGATCACAGTATACCACACTTAGAAAAAAGAGCATTATTGGTTAAGTCAGACTAACATTTCTTCTGCTTTTGAAGAATACCTAAGCTATACCTAAGCTATCACTCAGGTTTCTATACATGGCAACACACATACACTTAATCGAAGAACCATTTTTCCAAATGCAAACCAATATATGTACACAACACCTGAATCCTTCAAAGTTTTCCCCACTCATAAGTCAGCAAAAGAAATTTAAATTCGTATTTCAACTGCCTTAAACTGAAGACAATTGTTTAAAAACGTCAGAAACTTCTGTAACAGGCAAAAAGTAAAACGACAGTAATTTCTCATATATTTTAAATAGAAAAGCTTAAGACACTGGCATAATTCTAATTAATCAAAAGAACCTGATTAAGTAAATCTTTGAAAATTGTTATTGAACATTGTTAAATTTTGTATAGTGCCACCATACGAGGGATACACAGTACCACAACAAATAGCTTACCAAAGAAGTCAAATGAAAATGGGTCCCTTCCACCAAAAAATTCCCTGAAGACATCATCTGGGTTCCGGAATGTGAATCCATATTCAAATGGATTTTCAAAATGACTTCCACCTACAGAAATGGTTTAAGAAAATTATGAGTTTATAATTATCAGTATATTGTATCTAAGTAGTTTTCATTTGCTTTGGGAAGACATGGTACAGTTAAAGCCCTACATGGAAGAGAGTTAACAGTAAATTCATAAATTTGGGCTTCTCTAGCTTTGTACAACATCAGAATTTACATTTCACAGTAGAGATGGAAAACCAGCTACCACATTTATCTTGCTAATATCTGTAATCCACACAACTCTCAACATATTTTTAAATATACTCAGGAGACTAATGAATTTCATGGTCACTAATACAGTACTGAGCAAACTTAAGGGACAAGACTTTCTGTTCTATTCTTAGAATGTAACCAAGACTCCATTATATTTTTGGTTTCCCTCCAAAATGGCATAGATTTTACACCAGCCTCATCTATACTGGTTTATGCACTATTAATTGGGTACTTTATCTGGAAGAGGAAGATATAGTCGGAAATGAAGTCAACATAAAAACAAGACATATCAATAACAAAAGTTCTAAAGAAAAAAAACTGGCTACATAGATCTACATTTCCAATACCTACATATTTAAAACCATGGCACATGTGCTCACAAACCCAAAAGTCGCTTAATTTTACAAAGGCATGGAATGGCAACCTCTCAATTCTTATTTGGGTCCAAGCCTGATCATTCATTATATAGACAGTGTTCAAATTTTTCTTGATTTTGTTTTCCTTAAGACATCGTAGCTTTAAAGGAATATTAACAGTAACATATAGTAAATTCTAGGATCTGGCTTATGCTTTTATCTTCAATACCACTCAAAACAATTTAAAAGCCAAAATTCAAGTGGGGGGGGGGGAAACGACCTGGTTTTTTTGGTGTGAAATGTCTACATACCTCCTCCACCTCCACCATTTAATCCTTCTTTTCCATATTTGTCATAGATGTCCCGTTTTTTGGCTAAATAGTGAAAAAAAATAAATAAAGCTGAGACAGATATATGTGTGTGTGTATATATATCCTTTTCCTCCTCAAATGTGATGGAAAAGAAATTTTCCCAATTATATACCATTCTTCAGCATTCATAACCAAATATTTAAGTTTTTCATATCACCAAATTTCTCAGTAATTGATGTCAAGAAGAAACAAGTAGTTAAAGGAATCATTTTCAAAAGAAACAAAAATATTCATCTTAGAAATGTTTAAATTCACCAATAATGATGAATATAAATTAAAACCCTAAAAAAATTTTAAATACTTTACATACATTCACATTTAAGCCACATACAATAAACCTGTAAGGTGATTTTTATTCTCATTTTAAAACTCAATCAACAAGCATTTAATCACCTATTACATATCAGGAATTGTATTAAGCACTGGGGAAGAGAAAAATGAAACCAATCTCTGCCCTCAAGAAGCTTCTATTGCATCAAAGGAGAAAGCACAAAGTATATGCACAATATATACAAATTAAATACAAGGTAACAGTTTCAGAGAAGTTAAATAGCTTGCCCTTGGTTAGTTACACAGCTCATAACTCAGGTATACAACCGAAAACACCTCATGCTTGGAAAAGTCATGGTAAGACAGGAATGCCAATTTACAGCTGATAAAGCTATTTACTGGCTCAACCACTCTAAAAAAGCATTGGAAATTATTTAAGAAAAGGTTCCACTATTGACTATATCCCAAAGCAAATGATATAATGAAAAGTTTGCTCCCCATATGTACAAGAGCATTCGTATCAACTTTACTTAGGTGAATAATAAGCAAGAAGTAAAACACATAAAATGAATGAGAAATGTTTGACTAAACTATGTTCTATTAATGTAATGAAACATGACAGCACTGTAAGGAAAAGATGACTATAAAGCCTTCAGAGGATTGGGGGAAAGCCTGTAACAATGAAATTAGGAAGAGTGAAAAAAGTAACATTGATAATATGACACAAAATGACTACAACATTCAGAATCAGTGGCTCTCAGAGAGTATGAATACCTCCAACTCTACGTAGCTTACATTTGCAACATGCCTAAGCAGTTGCCAATTCTCCCTAGTGTGGCTTGAGCAAAAAAATTTGAGAACTAAAGCTTTAAATAAAGTCAAAAAATGAAAAGCAACAAAACTGGTCAATTACAATGAAGGAATGAAAAAGTATTATGTGCCTGGCACTGTGCTCTTCTTCTGAATGCTTATTATAGTGCTTTATTAGCTTTGATGAACTTGGGTTCAAAGCTACCTGAAAGAATCCTGTTTTATTTATATTGAGAATATAGAGATTGATCATATTCTCAGTGCACCATGTTTAGACAATCTTCCATTTAGAATACTATATATAAAGTGACTGTTTAAATGCACTTTGTGTAATTTTTTCACACCCTCTAACCTCCCCTTTTTTGCCAATTGGCAACCACAAAATAATAAAATGGCCTGCAACAAAGGGGGCAGGTAGCATCACTTTGTATTTTCTTTGTTTCTTGGCTTGGTGTTAAATTCCTACTGGTGATAAACCTCTCCATATTTAGGTCTGACTCTTGAAAGAAGTGCAGCCTTTTGATGGGTAAGTACATAAACTACCAGAACTTGGGATCTGCTAATGTATCTTTCAAGAACCTGTGGGGTCACATGAGCTTTTTTCTTATTGTTAAAATGCTGTGAGATGATCATCATGTAAATGGCTGGAACTCTCTCCCCAACTTTACAGACACATAACATTTCTTTTGCCTTTTTTTTTTTTTTTTTGGTTTTTTGGTGAGGCAGGAACTAGCTTTTATTAATTGCATCCCTAGCACTTAGCACAGTGCTTAGAACATAATGAGAACTTAATAAATGTTTATTGGATTGGAGACACAGAAGACATCTAATCTGTCAATCAACAACTGTTTATTATGTGATTACTATGTACAAGTATATATGTGATATTATATTTACTATATATGTATATAAAATACTATGTGCTAGGAACCATAGGGATACAAAGAAAGATAAAAATGATCAATGAACTTACATTCTAATAGTGGAGACAAGCATATAAATAGGCACATATAAGACAGAGCAGACAGGTAATGTTAGAGGGGAAGGGACTAGCAGCTGAGGAGACAAGGAAAAGCACCCTTCAGAAAGAGGTGTTTGAGCACATCTTGAAGGAAACCTGGCATTCTAAGAAGCAGAGGTGAGTAGAGACGACATTAGAGGCATAGAGGACAGCCAGTGTAAAGGCACAGAAATCAGAGACTGAGCAACATATGTGAGGAGCAAAAATATTTATCTCGGGAACCACTGAATATGAAGTTTATGAAGTTTACAATAGAGGATACAAATATTGTAGATATAAATACACAGACACACACACACACACACACCCCTATCTTAACATCCCAAACAGGAAGATTAAGAATTTTCAAAATATTTCAGAGTATTTCACTTGCTTTTCTAAACCTTTTTATATATTAAGAAAATAAATTCAAGGTGGGGTAGGGAAGGAAAAGGGAGGAAGCAGTACAAAAGCTGTGATTTCATTTCCCATCCAAGTGGCAATTTATAGTCTTAAAAGATTTGCCTGGGGACATTAAGAGATTAAGTAGTCCCAGAGCTAATATACCAGTCAAGGACAGAATCCAGCTCTTCCTCTCTATTCCACTCTACCATAAATACCCATTGCTACCTTTCAGAATAAATGAAAACTAAAGTCCTCTACAGATAGAATGAGAAGGCTGAAACACCATATGCCATGCTAAGTAAACCAAATCCTTGACCTGTAATCTGACTTCATACAGAGAAAAGTTTGTAACTGCCCACTCTGAAACTAGCCACCCAGTTACTGACTTTCACACGGAAGAGTTAGAACTGTCACAGCCTGTAGTTTTCCATTTAGGAGTTCAGCTTGAAGACCTGCAACAGCACTTACTTTGTACCCCAAGACACACCACACCTATTCTTTTAGTAAAACCACTGGTTATGTGCTCAACAAGGTCCATTCATTCACACAGATCCAGGTCAGTGGATTTAACTTTCAATGATAAGGATCTCAATATCTAAGAACTAGTTGTAATTGAAAGCTATTTTAAAAACAAAATTTAATCTTTTAAGTTGGAAGATCTTAAGTAATCCTTTACTATTTATTACTTCCTGAGTTTGAAACTTATCAAAACATGCCTTAGCTTCAATACACTTGTGTCATCTAATAGCAATATTATTAGAAAGCACCCAAGTAACAGAAAAAAAAAATTGATTATAGGCTTCAGCTCTAACCCAGCTATGAGGATTTCAGACTGCAATACTACCATCATATGCAGTAAGGTACAACATAATCTGTCAGTATGGAAAAATCACAGCTACACAACTACTAATTTGGGGAAATGGGTGATAACTTTGAATTCTCTAAAATCTATGCTTCCACAGCAAAATCAATAGCAAAAAGAAGCTGTTAGAAAACACCTTTTAGGGGCAGCTAGGTGGTGCAGTGCATAGACCTCTAGCCTTGGAGCGAGGAGGACCTGAGTTCAAAACCAGACTCAGACACTTGACACTTACTAGCTGTGTGACCCTGGGCAAGTCACTCAATCCTGATTCAAACACACACACCACCACCACCACCTTTTGAAAATTCTCTTTGAAGATGTCTTCACCTTATACAATTGAAAAAAACTTCTCAGGATTCTCACTGGTTCATTATTACTAAATATCAAAATGAACTATAAAAGGTGAATAAAATTTTGGCTAATTCTAGCTCCAAATAAAATTTATAATTCTACTCAGCTTTTCTTTGGAATAACCAAATAACGTGGTTATTAAACAAACTCTGAGCAGATTTACTGATTATATGTAGTAAAGGTTACAACATAAACAAAAGTTAGGTTCTAATATTATTCTTTTACATAGTAAAAAAGCCATAAATGTTGCTTCTTGACTAGAAAAAAATCCACTGTAATACTTAATCTACAATTCAAGGGTGGGGAATCGTAATAAAAGGATTTTTTCTGTGAAGTTTGGATTCAGTCAAAGTGCTGCAACTTGAGGACCTAGCGGGCCACATGTGACCTCTAGGCAACAGGTTCCTCACCTGTGTGTTTGAGTCTATATCACAAATCAGATTTAGGATCATATATTATGAAAAAATTACACAAATCACACAAGATATCTACAAGAAGTAATAAAATAGTCAATAATTGTAGCAGCTAGGTGACATAGCACTGGGCCTGGAGTCAGGAAGACCTGAGTCCAAATGGGACCTCACACTAACTAGCTGTGTAGCCTTGGGCAAACCACTTACCTCTGTCTGCCTTAATTTCCTCAACTGCAAAATGGGAGTAATAACAGCACCTACCTTGCAGGACTGTTGCAAGGATCCAATGGGATAATGTTTAAAGTGTTTAGCACAGTGCCTGGTATATAGTAGGTGCTCTGTAAATGATTATCTCTTCCTTCTCTCTCCATAATTACCCCAATATTTTATATATTGATGAAACACACTTGGAAATGTCTGAGTAGCATGCCACATTCCTAGTCATAACAACTTTTTATTTACTTATTAGCTCTATTTTACAAAAGTTTTAAGTATAGTGAGTGAATGCTAAATAAATGCTTTTTGGTTAATTCACAAGAAATGGAAAAAAATATAAATCATCTACAAATTTACTAGAACAACAACCCATTGGATAAAGAAATAACCAACATTAACTTCTGGTTGGAAAAAAAAAAAAACCAGAATCAACAAAAATTTATTAAGTACTTGATATGGTCGAGGCACTGTGCTAAATGATGAGGATACAAAGAAAACCCTTCAAGAAACTTACATTCCAACAGAGGAGACAATATGGACATATATACAGTATGTGCAAGACCATGTTTACAAGTAGATATAAGGTAACTTAGAAAGGAAGGGATTATCAGGTGGGAGGAAGGGTGTAGACAGAATGAGATGACTATTAAGAAAGGTTTTGGTTTGTTTGTTTTTGGTTTTTTTTTTTGCTGAAGACAGTATTTGAACTGAGTCCTGAAGGAAGCTAAGAATTCTAAGAGATAGAGGTGTAGGACAGAGATCATTACAGTAATGGAATACAGCCAGTACAAAAGGAGAGAGAGAAGGGAGACAGCATATGATATTTAAAGAATACCAAGTAGGTTAATGTGCCTAGATAATCAAGTAATGTAGAAGACTAGAAAGACAGGGTTGTAATTAGCTTTAAATGGAAGAATTCGTATTTGATCCTGGAACAGAAAATCATTAGTTCATTGAGTATGGAAGAGTGGATGACATGGACAGAGCTACACTTTAGGAAAATTGGTGGCCATGCGGAGAATGGGACTGGAGTGGGGGGAGACTGCAACAGGGAGACCAACTGGAAAACTAGGGCAATGATCTAGGTGAGAGGCGATAATGGCCTGAACTAGGAATGATAGCTGCATGACTTTCATAAAAGAGATATTGTAGGACAGAAATGGTATTTGGCACCCAAACTGGACGTAAGGAATAAATGTCACAGTAAAGAGTGGAGAATAGGGGCAACTAGGTGGTGCATTGGATAGAGCACCAGCCTTGAACTCAGGAGGACCTGAGTTTAAATCTGGCCTCAGACACTTGATGCTTCCTAGCCATGTGACCCTGGGCAAGTCACTTAACCCCATGCCTAGCCCCTTCACTCCCCCAAAAGAAGTGGAAAATGATACCAAAGTTGCAAAACCTGGATGGGTGACTGGAAGGACTATGTAGCCTCAGTAATAGTAGGGAAGTTCATAAGAGGGGTGGAGTGGCATTGAGAAGAAAGATAAAGATGAGATGCTATGGGATATTCCATTTGAATGACACAGGATTAGGGAGCTCATGAGACGGATGAGGACTAGATATATAGATCTGGGAGTCACCTGCATAGAGAAATGACAACTGAACCCTTGTGAGCTGGAGAAGAGGGTCTAGGACAGAGCTTCAGGGGACACCCATAGCTACTAGCCATGGCATGGATGAAGAGACATGAATGAGGACAAAAGGTTAGACAGGTAGGAGGGGAAGTAAAGAGAGATCAGTGTCACAAAAACCTAAGCAGGAAAGGGTATCGAGGGTTAATCAATACTGCAAAACTCACAGAAAAAGGTCAAGGAGGAGGAAGAGGACTTAGAAGAAGTTGCAGAAAGGTCAAGGAGGATGACGTCTGAGAAGAGGCCATTAGATTTGACAATTAAGAGATCACTGGTAACTTTGGAAAGAGTCCTTTCAGGTGAATGATGAGGTCAGAAGCCAGATTTGCCCAGGGTATTGGGGGTTGGGGTGGGGGGTTTAAGATAATACTGAAAAATGCAAACAGAGAGTATAATTAGCTGTTTCAACTAAAGTTACAAGGCAATCTATCCAGAATAGCAGAATCTAATCAAGGTTTTTGAAGGCTAGGAAAGAATTCAGAGTACTTGTAGGCATAGGAAGGAATCATTATGGTGGAACAGACTGAAGATGAGGGAATGGAGAAGATATATGGAAGCAATCTGCTGGGGGAGCAGGGTGCTGGGGAAATGGGATCAAAGGTACATGGAGAGTTAGCCTTGACAAGAATAAGGATTAGAGTAAAGGAGATGGTGTGGGATCATGTCAGAGGGGTATGAGATAAGGAAAATTATAAGAGGGAATGCTTGACAAATACATTCAATTTTTCTAGTGAAGTACAAGGTAAGGAGGATGAACAGAGGCAGGAGAGTTAGAGAACAGGAGGTTTAGAACAACGATCCCTGTGGTGGATGAGAAAAGAATTATTTAGAGGGAAGTAAAAGAATTCTTTGCACGCCCAGTTGAGATTAAAACATTAGTTTGTAAAATCTTAAATCTTAGAAACCTAAAATCTTGTAAAAATTCATTGTAAAATCATCACTAAGGAAATACAGCACCATTATTATTTAGCACCAAAATCCAAGAATCATATATATTATCAAAGTCATGTAGCAACCTGAGAGGAACTATCAAAACTGAAATTTCCATCCCAATCCAGCAAAGACTGAACATCTGGGGATAATTTTCCTGCAATAAACTACCTGTCTACTGCTTTCAAATTTCACAGCAATTTTGGATTCTCCATCAATATCTATACAATTTTTTTAGAAGATAGAATTTACAGGAAATTGTCTATGCCATGATGAAGACAGTAAAGTACCATCAAGGGGCAGCTAGGTGGCACAGTGGATAAAGCACCGGCCCTGAAGTCAGGAGGACCTGAGTTCAAATCCGGCCTTAGACCAAACACTTGACACTTACTAGCTGTGTGAACCTGGGCAAGCCACTTAACCCCAACTGCCTAAGCAAAAAAAAAAAAAAAAAAAAAAGTACCATCAACATGGCCTCATTAGTGAAAATGACATTGCAATGATTCTTTTCAGAACATGGCATCAGCAACTCCTTATGAGTACTTCTGCCCCATCAGCAACAAATTATTTAACTTAATACTACCAGAATGAATAAGCAACACTTATGAATACTACTGACAGGTCTAGGGAATAAACAGAGACTTTAAAAAAAAGAGAGAGGAAAAGATAGGTGGTAGAAAAGAAGGAAAAAAAATGGCAAATGATTATCTGCTGAAGGATCATTCTGCAAATCCCAGAGTGAAAGCGACCTACCCCAAACTAGAAATTCTATAATGTAGTATTCAAACTAATATAAAAGGTTGACAGAAGTCAAAAGGAAGTTAAAAACCAGCAATGCTATCTTTAGGCCTAACATATGTGTAATAAACCAAGGACGTAACACTAGTAGATTGCACAAAAGTAAAATCTCCTGAGGAGTCAACTAATCTCCACCTGTAAATTACTGGATATATTCTGGAATACACTTAAAGAGGAGAACATAGCAAAACTATAATTTTCTGTTGCATAAAAATACATAGCAACAGTCTTCAGATTGTTATTTTTCAAGTCTCTTATGCAAAAATAGCAAATAATTGCCAGAAGTCAACACCAGTCCACACAGCATACTGAGGTGTAAGAAGAGATAAGGTGGTTCAATCTGAGCAAAACCTTTATGCAACTGTGAAGGCAGCACAGGAAGAATAACTGAACTCAAAGTCACCAAAAAATACAATATATATTAAACAGTAAGATCTAGAGCCATTTAGCTTGTCTTCAGCTATTCTAACACACAGGAAGGATATACTCAACTGCCTCTAATAAGAACACTGAGGTAACAAGCTTACTAGGTAAATAAACAGTAGAAGCTACAGTAAAAATTTAAATAACTGAAAACACTTCTCTGAGCATATTAGTACTTAAACAATTTTTCTGTTTTTTCGAAAATGTTGCTTTAGGGCAGGGGTCAACAAACTAACCTAAATACAATAAAAGTCCTAAATACAATAAATACAATAAAACTTTATTTTAAAATGAAAAAAACATTCTTAACTTTCAGGCAAAACAGGCAGTGGACCAAATCCACAGGCTGTATAGTTTGATGACCTCTGCTATAGGGCAACAGCTCCAAAATGTTACAATTTTACTAATGTTTCCAAAAGTCATGTAAAATTCTAAAGGATGAATTCCCAATTTACACTTATGAGATTTTGGGTGATTAGAGGTTTCTAAAAATTACAGTGCCTTTTAAATATATACAAAGCACTATTCCCATTTAGAGATGAGAAAATTGAGGCTCAGAGAAGACAAATAACTTGTCCATGGTCACATAGCCAATAAATATTGGAGCTGGGACTTGAACTGTGATGTCCTGATGCGAAATCCAAATCTCTTTCTACACTAAATAAGTATATATACTTATCACCATACATCATATATACATCACCATCACCACTACCACCACCACCACCACAAAACAGAGAAGTGTACTCTATCATCATACAATCTGTGAAAAAACCAGCTACGTCACACCATTCATAGCTATTACTATCAAATGCTGCCAAAACTAGATCTTCATTTCTTGTCTGCTTGAAATCAGAAAGTTTTAGAATGTTAGCAGCGCTTTCCTGATAACACCAAAATCCACTTAAAAAGGGAAATTATTGTACATACTTTGCTTGCACTTAGAATACCATTATCTTCACTATCCAGCCAATGTACTGTTACAGCTCTGTAGTACTTACCATCTGATAACACCTCATATGCCTCAGCTACTTGTTTGAATCTCCTTTCTGCTTCTTCTTTATTTTCAGGATTTTTATCCGGGTGCCACTTAAGTGCCAATTTACGATACCTGGAATAAATAAAGGTATAGAGAAAGCTATTTATTACATATGAATATGTAAAATTGATTTGCCTTCAATGGCAGCTCAATATGGTTTGAAGGAAAAACACTACTTCAAAGATGATCATCTGCTAGATAGCTGCTACAGCAATTTTTAAATCAGATGCTCATCTCTCCAACACTAAGATAAACGGACTGTAAACTAAAAATGCAAGATAGTTTGATATAGTGGGATAAAGGTCTGACTGGCCTTGGATACAAAAAGATCTGGGTTCACATAACAGATCTGTGAACATGGGACAAGTCACAAATTAAGAGTTGCCACTGTGCATGAGTGAAGGAAGTTTCTATACTAGGAGGTCCCATCTCCTTAAAACATTAGAAATCCAAAAAAGAGAGGGTAGAGGTGTCAACTCAATGTACCAAAATAGTGACGCTCACCAGTGCCTGAAGAAATCTATTCCATCAAGATCTTCCACAAATAAGGGAAGTGGAAATAGGCTTGGGGTATTAAATGCATAAAATAGTGCCACAGACAGCAAAAATTCATGTAGGGTATGAAGAAAGAAGGTCTAGGAACTACCCAATGTGATTCTTGTTCTATTGAGTCCTAGTTTCCCATGGTCATTAAGCTACTGCCCTACTTTTACCTAGTCCAACACAAACCCTATTGAGGCAAATATATAGTTTACTATATAACTGGCCAACAGCAAAGTATCTTTTAGATACTACTGCTCTAAGATCTAAAAACCTCTTGCTTTTAATATTCAAAAATGTCACCTAGTCTTTAGGAGATGTAAATACATTATTTTCATTTGATACTTATAACAAACCTGCAAGGTAGACAGAGCAGGTATTATTTTCCCTTTTATGCATGAGGAAACTACAGCTAAGAGAACTCAAGTGACTTGTCCATAGATCACAAAGGTAGCAAGCATCAGTGTCAGGAGTCAAACCCAGGGCTTCTCTGTCTTAAATCTAATGCTTTCTCCAACATTGCTATTAATACCTATCATCCCCTGGTGCCAGAATCCTACGGCTAAAGTTCTTGGCTTTTTCAAAGATACCTTCTGCAGGAGCAAAATGAGTAACATGAGAAAAACTAGGTAACATACCTAAAACTGAGTTAAATTGCTAACTCCTGAACAAAGATACTTCAGTATCCACAATCTATTCAAAACTTACCTTTTTATTAAAACACACAAAAGCCTATTTCTAGGCACGATTTAGGTTGCTCTAATTTGCACCTTCAGTTCACAAATTCAACTAGCAATAATTCAGTGCAGGTAGCATCCTTCTAAAAGTTAAAATGTAAAAAGCTAACTCAACTCCACACTTAGGTAAAAAAAGCTAATGTCCTAAAGAAGAAACAAATCCTAGTAAGTTCTAAGAAATCTCAACCAACTGAGATGGAACATTTGATTTTGCTCAAGAACCAATTATTTATAACTAATATGAAATGACTTTCAATTGAAACCTTTTAATGCTGACCAAAAATTATTCCAAAGATCTGCCCTCAAGCATCAAATCGTATTAGAGTAGTTGATGATTCGATTGATAAAAGCATGATGAACTGTGCACATGACAACTGTCCTGTGGTTTGTGTTGCTGCTTCTGCTGCAGAATATCTGTAATACTGCTTTTATAGTTAAGTCAATAGTCACTTATTTAGTAGCTGAACTACTGCTGATTCCCTGAAACTAATCAATCACTGAAGTTCACAGTTGGTACCCCATGTCTTCTTTTTTTTTTCCTTTTGGTCCATTCTCATATCATAGAATTATTTAAGCTCCTGTAGAATATATTCTGACGATATATTCTCTTTTATCTCTTTTCCAGCAGCTATGTCCAATTTGGCATAGCCATGTCAGAGCAAGTATTATTTCACAATCCTTTGGGATGCAAATTAGTCCTACAACTGTTGTTCCATATAACTTCTGTCTGTAACTGTTCTGACACCATTGTGCCCACCAGTCTCTTTTGATTCAATTTGATACTTCCCTGACGAACAGCATTAGACAAACTACACTATGACAACAACTTAATCTAATTCCTTCTTTATGTTCTAAGTTTCCAATGAAAATCTCTTATTTTCAGGTAATTTCCCCAATATATGCAGAAATACAGCCTCCATTTTTTCAGGTTCATCATCTATGTTTACTGTTGTGATGGGTCCATAATCAATTACATAAGGGTATCCTTTCAGCATACAGGGAATGGGTTTAAAAAAAAAAAACATAAACAAAAACAAAACACTACTCAAGAATTAAGTAGAATTATTCATTCTAGGTAACTGGGGCTTTGTCTTCTTTCAATGTTCAGCCAGATTCAAAGTCACAAAGGTTAAAGGTAGACATATGTAATCAATTTGTTACAAAGCCAAATAAATATATCATCAGTATATTTTCTGAATCTACTCACTTAAAGAAAAAGTTTACTTCACCCATAGAAGGCAATGGGCTATGTGCCCCTTCGCAAAGCTAGATAACTCAAAGAATTTTAGAACAAGACTAAATGTCCACCTAAAATGACATTCTAATGAAACCTTATTTTAAGGTAATAAAAAGAATACTTACGCCTTTTTAATATCCTCTGGTGAGGCATGTCTCTGCACACCTAGAACTTCATAGTAATCCACCATGTTTTAATAGTTTGTTGGAACAAGTCCTGAAATTAAAAATCTTTTGTAAATGATAGCACCATAGTTATTTCAGAATTGGTGAGTTAAAGAGTCACTTCACCACACAGGTCTATTGGCCCATTTCCATTTTGAAGATAGATGACTTATGTTATTTAATAACCTAAACTGCTATCTATTAACCTTAGGCCTTATGGCAGGGCTAAAAGTCACAATGTCAAAGGAGGCAAATTTCAAAGATTCATATTCTCTTTCTGTTTGCTGCAATGTTTTAGATCCTAAGCTGAGCTAATAATAATTTAGGAAGGGGGATTCTCACGTCTCCAAACTTAATCACAAACTGACATATACCCTAAATCAACTGTTCAATGAGTCCTCCCAGACATAGAATCCTGCAGATATAGACAGGATTCAGGCATCAATCAACAAGCACTTATTAAGCTCTTAGCCAGGCAATGAACTTAAGTAGTAGGGATATTAAAAAGGGCAAAAACATGTTCCCTACTCTAGAGGAACTCATTCTAACAGGAGACACAACATACACACAACTATGTACACATAATATACATTTAATAGGAGTGGAAGATAACTAGGGAGTGGGTGTTGGGAGAGGGTTAAGAAAAAGGTCTCCTGAAGGTAAGATTTGAGCTGAGTTTTGGAGGAGGGTCAGGGAAGAAGGCAGGAGGTGAAGGAGAACATCTCAAGCACTGAGGTGAGCCAGCGAAAAGGCAGGGTCAAGAAATTGAGTGCATGAGGAATATCAAGTAGGCCAGCATGGCTGAATCCTAGAGACTGTAAAAGACAATCAATCAAAAGAATGGAAAGTTAGGAAGGGGGTAGGTGGCTTAAAATGCCCAACAAAGGAATTTTATATTTTATCTTAGATATAACTGGAAATCATTGTTGGAGTTGACTGAGTAAGGGGATGACAGTCAGATCTACACTTTACAAAAATCATTTTAGCAACTGAGTGGAAGAATGGTAGGCATTAAGCTAAGCACTGGGGATACAAAGAGAGAAACCGTCTCTGCCCTCCAGGAGCTTTCATTATAAGGGAGAACACAGCATTTATGTAGTTCAATATGTACCTAAAATATAAAAAATTAATACAAGGTTGTTTTGGGAGAGGGTACATTAAGAAATTGGATGGGGGGGGGGGGAGACAGAAAATCAGAGAGGCCTTCATACAAAGGTGGTATATTTGAAGAAAATTAAGAGATTATAAGAGGAAGCAGTGAAGATGAAGTACATTTCAAGCATGGAGATCAGCTAATGCAAAGGCCGCAGAAAGAGGAGATAGTATGAGAGATGGAGTAACTTGTGTTCAGAATGGTCAGAATGGCTAGATTTCAGGCAATCAAATCCCAAAGAGCCCTAATGACCCCAAATATACTCCCTTCCTTCCAACTCTATATCTATGATCCTATAAATACAAAATGTTACATCAACGTCATTCAAAGTCTGAAAAGTTGTGCTTTGGGAGAAGAGAGAATGGAAAGCAATAAAGGCCTTCTGAAGAAAGTGAATGGAAGAAATAGCCCTAAGGGTCTAAATGTTCTTGGTTTCTAGGCTTCCTGGATTTCTCAATCCAGACAGTTACCCAAAACTGATTTTCTTTTCAAAAACACTCTTACCCAAGCACCTATGCTAAACATATTAGGTCTGCTGTGGCTATCCAGAGGTAGCACCCAACAAAAAACTGCCGCTATGCCTCTGTGGGACTGCTTCCTCTGGTCACAAGGGGAAATCAAGAACAGTCTACACTGCTACCAATTAACTCCTTCATTAAGGTGCTCAAGGGAAAGTTAGGCAGCAAGAAAAAGTTAAAAGATAACAATGGTAGCTACTAATTAATCTTGAGAGCTATTAATTAACATCTTCTTAAAAAATTTTTCCATGAGAATTTTCCTGTTGCCTAAAATTACTGCAGCTAATTTGTCACTTCTGTGGATTTATACTTTACCTTAATTTCCTTAAACTCCATCCAACCTAGCTAAATCTCCAGTGAAGTAAAATCCAAGAAAACTTCCAAAACTATCTGATTTTTTGCATTGCTCAAAATGGCTCTTTCACCTAGAAAGTCAAAATTCTTCCAGGTTCATTCTCAAACCAGGTACTAAGTCTTAATCTATCATCTAAGCATTTTAACATAATGGCATCGGGTTTACCCTTTTTTGGTTCAGATCAAGATTTAGGAGCTCAAAAGTACATGTGAAATCACACCCATTCTTGAATCCAAAATTCCATGTTATACTAATCTCAGCTAAAATGAGTGCCAAAATTATTACCTTTTCTTTTTCATATGTCTATTATTTAGCTTATTTTTTTCCTCTGAACTAAAACTTTGAATTTGAAAAAATACAGCTAGTTACTCATGAAAACAATGTCAAATTGTTCTCAAAAATGTGAGCAATCAAAAGAGATTACTTGTAACAAGTAATTATTTGACTAAAACAATGTCAAACTGATCTCAAAAAAAGTAATCAGCCAAATACAAAGTCAAGATCGTACTAGTCTATCACAAACACAAAAAGGAGAATTTTTTTTTAGCAGCTTGTACTAGGATCAGGTGTTAACATGAGGCAGGTCAGTAGAATTAAATTAAAATGTAACTGGGAAATAATTAACAAAATAAATAAAAATACAATAGAACATAAATGTTAGTATGTTGTTTTCTTATGTAAGGTTTAGTGGTCCTCTCATTTCTATTTGAGTTTGACACCACTGTATGAAAATGACTTATGAAGCACACATGGTAATTACTATTAAGAAGAAGAAGAGGAACTATTTGCATCTTCCTTGATAAGACTAGTATTTTTTTTTTTGGCCCCCTTCAGTCAATACCCATCCTATATATACCTCCAAGACCTCGATGTGGAAATCATCTCCCCTCCCTCATCCATCTTCAACCTCTCCCTTTATCCTCCTCACTTGCCTACAAGTATACTCAGGATTTCCAACTAGGGGGATGGGGGTATGAGGAGGGGTTAGCGGCACACGTGGCAGCACACTCTGACAGCAGAGTCTGTTTCCCTTTGTCTTAATATCTCCATGCAAAATACCTAGCAGAGTGATAAAATGCTTGCTGATTAACGAGACTTTCATCCATTTTACTGTACCCAGTCTTTTAAAGGTGATCATGGCCTAATCACCAAGTTCAATGACCTTAATCCAGGACTTGTTTTAATAAGATGCCACTAAGAAAACGTGGGCTCAAACCCCATTCCAGGTGCCTTTGGGAAGTCCCTGGGCCTGCTTCTTCATCTGTAAAATGAAGGGGTTGGACTACACAGTCCCTTCTAGTTCAGAGGATGCTTTTTCTTTGACCTCTTTGAATGAAGAATGATACATCTGACCACATCATCTCTCTAGACCCTCTTTCTCTCCTTAATTCCTGAGGGTTAACACACTCTTCTGGCTCTCCTGGGACGACTTCACTTCAAGCAATTGTGCTCTCCAAGGTTCTGGTGTCTCCTCAACTGTTTTTTGCTCTTGGCATTTAAAAAAATGGTACTTGGCACATTAGGCACTTAATAAATGCTTACAGACTGATTCTTTCTTTGGCATTCATGTTCTTGGCTTCAACTAATACCTGCAAAGTTGATTGACTTCCAAATCTCCAGTCCAAGTTCCACACTTATATCTGCCTACATCTCTACCTGAATGCGCTGTCAGAACCTTAAACTTCACACATGTCCAAACTCTAACGTACTGCCCTGCCCTTTTTCCAAAATATGCTTTTCCTTATGAATTTTCTATTTCTATCAGAAGTACCACTTTTCAGTCTCCCAGAGGATTCAAACTTACCTTTCACTCTTCACAAATTCATAAATGAAGAATGAAGTTCTACTGATTCTACCTGAAATATCTCTTCCATTGATCTTCCTTTATTCCACTTCCACTACCACTATTATAGTATAAGCAAGTCCTCAATACCACACTCAATGAGATTAATCAGAAAAGACCTAACAGATCCTCTTTTGACTTTGCTGCAAGACATCTTAATGCCATTCATGCCATTTCTCTGCTCAACAGAGGCAACCATGTAAAGCTGAAAGTACTTGTTTAGTCTCAAAAAAGGCCTCCCACAAAAACAGTACAATCTTTCTTTTTTATCTTAATCTTGTGCCAGCATTCCCATTCAGAGACTCTACATTCTAGTCAGCTCCACTACTCTCTGTTCCTGAAAACCAGTAGCACTATTCCACCTCCACAGCTTTTCTCATACTATTACCACTATACCAGGAATGTCATCCTCCACCTGTTGAATATCTTATATCTTTTGAAGTCAAACTGAAATTCCACTTGTTCGTAGACACCTCAGCCCACCCTCAACTGGTAATGACTTTTCTGCTCTGACTTCACAAAGGTTTTTGTTTGTTTTTTTCACCTCTTATAGTTCACCTTTACAAAGGTTATCAAGCACTTTACAAATTCCATTCTCATAATGGACCTGGACAGTACCATCTTATTTTAAAAAGAGGAAACAGAAGAGCTGAAGAAGTTAAATGACTTGCTTTACATTCCTAAAGCCAGTTAAGGAAGATGCAACCTAAGCTCAGGTCCTCTAAATCCAAATCATATTTTAATTACATTGTACTGCCTCTCTTATGCAGTAATAAAATTGTGTCTACCTCCTATCAGATTTTATTGCTCCATGTATGCAGAGATAATAGTATATCATTTAACATAAATCCTACTCAAAACCTAGGACAACTATCCTAGGCTGACTGTAGAAAACATCTCTGAACACAGGTACTTAAAACAAATGTTTGATGAATTCAATTGTTGATAAAGATAATCACAGCATTTTAGAGCTGGAATGGAATTTCCATTAAATTCAATTTAACAAACACAACCAACTGCCCTTTGTTTTGCAGATGAAGTAGTAATAGAGAACAGAGGAACAACTATCTTCTATTCTCAAACTGAAATGACTCCCTATTAAATAACTTTAGAATCAAATCTAAATACCTTTTATGTGGTATTTAAAGCCCTTCACAATATGGCTTCAACCTACCTTTACAGCCTTATTATTGCTCCCCTGAACCACCTTCAGTGATCTCTGAAAAATCAAACAGGAGAAGTATGCCTCAGAGGTGGAGATAGGCAAACAATCCCAATTTCTGGAAGGGGAAAAGGCAAATTCTTTAAATTATGGGCCAAAGATGTAGACAAAGTCTTGGCAAAAATTCTATAATACATAACAAGTTTGCAAGAACTTAAAAGGCAAGTAAACACAGCGAGAATATGTCCATGAAAAATAAGTCATTCCCTTTGTTGACAGGGGTTTATTACACGGAATAATCAGGAAAATATCTTAAAATGTTTTAACTCTGACATTCTTACAGGTGGCCCTTTTTCTTGGACAGTGATTTGTGTGATTACTATGTGCCATTTCACAATTTTATGTCTTAATATGTTAATTTCTGCCTGTAAAAGGTAAGCAGAATGTTGGTGTGCCCCTTGATTGGGATTAGATACATTTACTACATAAGGTATACTAAATTGGAGGTTCTCTTCCTAAATTGGAAGGGAACTTTTTTTTCCTTTGAAGTAGAACATAAACCTTTGGATGATAGAGCTGAAAGGTGCCTTGGTAGTCATTTAGTCCAGGCTTATCATTTTACATATAAAGAACTAAGCACACAGAGTGAAGTGACTTGCTCAAGGTTCAACAGCTAAGTAGCAGATCACAAGTTGAGGTTTCCAAGTCCTCAGACACCAAATCCAGTGTTCATTCTACTGCACCACATTACCTCTTAGTTAACTGTAACCTCCTAGATGGCCGACTAAATGTTTAACAGTGCTTTTTCCCCCTTGTAACTTTTGCAAAGATTTATCAGTATTTTACCAAAGCCTACCCCAATTACTTACAAGATTGTTTATTAGCATGCATCGAAGCAGGCTGCCCACTCTGAGAAAAACTACTGTCATTTCTAAAATCAATGCATCTGTTATCCTTAGGACAATGAGAAATTATCCAAGACAAGATTCCTATCCAAGTAACAGCCACCTATGCCTCTAAGGCTACTGAGGATATAGAATGTGTGCCACGGCCACACTGCTCTCACTAAAGGACTAACATTGTGGTCAAAAAAAGACTGGCAACACGCTTAGCCCAGCCTATTCTCTCAAAGCCTTTGAGGCTGGCCTAAAGGTAAGACTTTACACCAAAGTTAGATTTTCCGTGCATAAGCAAGAACTGCTCAATCTCAAATCTCATTCTCTCAATGTGTATCATTTCCTAAACTCCACAATTCTGACCAATCCACTTATAACATTCCCGGGAGGAACACTGGCAGCAGTGATGTATGTATGTACCTTTCATCATGCATACAGGTCTAGCCTTATTACATTCTTCAATAAATCCAACTTATATATGAAATTTACAAGTCAATCTTTCTTACTTGTTAGTAGCATAGTGATTTAGCATCCTAGAAGCTACCACGGAAAAATTTTACTGCTATCTCCAGAGAATGATAAAGGAAGACCTCACTAGCCTCTGAAAATTATCCTCCCAAACCCACAAGATATTTTGCTAAAATGTTATTATGGTTAGATAACTCTCCCAATAATCTTGTGGGCAAGATGGAATGATGAAAACCACTGTGTAAAAATAGCTAGGTAGATGAATAATTCAATGCAAAGAGTAGTGATTAAACGATCATCGACAAATAGCATAGTTATCTCTGGGGGGGGAACCTGTTCTGGCTCAACAGTTATCACTGATTTGGATGTAAGCATAAAAACCATGATTACAAATTTTCTGATGCTAGGGAGAATAACAAGTTTGTTTGATGACAGAAAAATACCAAAATATTTTATAGGCTAAAATCATGAGCCAAAGCTACTTAAATTTGTAAAAAGGACACATACTCTTGGGATTAAAAAAAAAAAAAACCAATTCCAGAAATACAAGAGGAAATGATCAGACAATAATTTCTGTAGAGAAAAATATCTATGTAATAAAAGCAGATTCCAGTTCAAGTAAAAGTGGGATCAGGTAACCTCTGAAGCCCCTTATAACTCTGTAAAACCTACGATGCAGAAGCCCATGTTCTGCCACTGACTAGCTGTGTGACTTTAGTAAATCACTTACCCTTTCTGAACATCAATTTCTTAATTTGTAAAATGAAGGGATTGGAATATTCTAGAGAGTGAACTCAGTTCTTCCCAACACTAAAATTCTATGATTCCATTGAATTACCAAAATTAAGTTACTTACAGTTAACTGTTAAGTTATTTACAATTAATTCATAAGCATGGCCAGACCTAAGAAATCAGATCAGAACAGTAGAGTTCAAAATCTGTTTTTAAAAAACTCCAAAGAAGGTTTGCAACTTAGTCTACTTGTTCACAGTGGAATATTAAAAATATGTTTATACTATCAAATTTCAATGTTACATGTGTAATTTACATTATCAATACCTGTTTGTTTTCCAGGAACTGTACTTTTTAAAGTTTTTTTTTTTTTTTTAAATTTCACTTGGCCATTAAAACTGGCATTGAGAGATCTTTTAATTATGCAGGAGCTTTTCTGCTTCCTAGATGCAGTTAGGTGAAGACCTAAGTCCAAATACTGCCCCAGATACTTACTAGCTATGTGACCCTGAGCAAATGACTTTACTTGTCTTGAACTCAGTATCCTAATCTGAAAAATGGGGATTAATAATAACATCAACCTCACAGGATTGCTGTGAAGATCAAATGAAATAGCATATGTCTAGCACTCTGTAAATGTTAAAGCTTATAAAGAATATCAGCTATTTAACAGTATTTCATTTTATTGATGCTCCAACCTAAGTCAAAAATAGCTTCAGCTCAGCTGATTCCAGTCACAGAACTAATCTTACAGTGTCAGACAGCAGGCATTCAAAAAATACTGATTCTCTTAAATAACCTGATGTGATCAACCTCTGTAAACAAAAGCAAAAAATTAAAAAAAAAAAAACCCACCCCATTATTTGGTCAAATAGTTCAAGTTTTAATTCAGTCTTATTATCTTCTTTCCAGACATTAATTTGCTTTTTTATGCTGCCTCTGTTGCTGTTAGGAAGAGGGCTAGATCTGCCACTTCAGCAGAAGTACAATTTAACCACTTTGGGTCTCAGTTCCCTCATCTGAAAAATAGAGACTGGAATTAGGTGACCTCTAAAGCCCCTTTCCAGCTCTTAATCTATAATCATCATGATCTCTCCTACAAAATATTCAGATTTATACACAGCTGAAATTTATATGTAAATTAAACAAGTGCCTTTTTCAGACCTCTAACAGAAACTATCCCCATTGTAATAAATATTATGCACCAAAATAAATATCTAGCTATTTGTGTAAAGAGAAGAATCTCACAAAACACTCGTGCCAACCATTGTAACAGTTCCTTGCATTTGGCTAAAAATGCTTAGAAAAAATGTAATCAAGGCTGTTGTCATTCTGTCACCTCCTCAAAAGTCAGCATTGTTTATACAAATTATAAAACACTTTCAGATTTTCCAAATTAGGAATGTTTGTATACACATATATGTATGTTTTTAAAAATCAGTACCAATATCTCAGCGTGGTAATTCCCCAGGAAAAATTTCTAATTCTACATTATAGTACTTTAAATGCAACAGAGTAACAAGGGGATGTAGAGTAGTACATCAGTCTGGGAATGGTCTTATAATAAAGGATGTGGAACTTATGTAAAAATCCAGAAGCCATTCTCTACTATAGTTTAGAGAAGGCAAAGGTTGCCATTTTCAAAACTTGGCTGACATAAAAATTCCTCATCAGCCTCTGCTTAAATACTTGAGAGCAAGACAACTCCTACAAGAAATATCAAGTGTCCTAGCAGGCACTTTTTAAATAATGCAACAATGAAGTTCTTTAAAAGTACAAAAGGCTTTAAAAAAAATTACAAAAGGCTGTGAGAATTAAAATGATTTATAACAATAATGGGCACTATACTAATGGAATGGAATACTAAATGTTATCTTAGTGGATATACTTGGACTATGAAGAATGATTAAGTCAAATGAAAAGATAAATTGGAATGAAGGTAAGTACTTCTTGGCTATATTGATTCTACTCTTTCTAAATCCTTGACAGTACTTAATCTGTAATAATAAAAACATTTTTATCACAAATTTAAGAACCATCAACAAGCATAAATGTTCAAAGAAATAGGCACAATTTTTTAAATGATTGCTTGTGAAACCATAAACTTCTATAATACATTTAACAATTTTTCTAAATGCCGTATTTGCGTCCCCTTAATTTTGTGCATACTTTGTTTTTTGTAGTTGTTGCTTAAAATGTATATTGCTTTTAGTTTTGTTCATTTTTAACATCTCTCCACATAAATCTCTCCACATTTATTTTATTTTGTCATTTCTTACGGTACAACAAGATTCCATTACACTCATGTACTATTTCCTAATTGTTGGACACGTTTGATTTTTCCTGTTTCTTGCCACTGTTATCAATAATCCCAATACAAATATTTTCATGCAGATAGATCTTTTTCCCTGTCATAAGTAGTCCTACCACTAGGTCAAAAGAGCCTATTTTATATTTCCATATTGATTCCAAATATACCAACACACACCTCTATTATCATATACTACAGTTTAGCATTCAATTCTACAAGTCTAGTATTTATTTTTTATTGTCTTGTGTCAGTATTATGTCCTCAATTAGATTTTAAGTTCCTTGAGGAAAGAGAATCATATTACAGCATTTATCTTTAAAGGAAAGTAGCACACAGCTAGGCACAAACTAGGTCAGATATGTTACAGTGGATATTCCTTTTATATACTGAGTCAGATTAGAATTCAAAGGTTCTTAACCTGAGATTTGTGAGCTTTTTTAAAGACTATTTTGAGAGGTGTATTTTGGTTTTGATAACTGTATAACTGTTTTCCTTTGTAATTCCTGTAATATTTTATGCATTTAAAAACATTATTCCGAGAAGTAATTCAAAGGTTTCACCAGATAGCGCCAAGAACAGAAGTCCGTGACACACACAAAAAATTTTAAACTCCTAAACTGCAGTCACTTCCAAATCTATTAAGAAAAAAT